GCCATTTTCCAAAGCCTCTACAGACCTAACCGCTCAGTATTTTTGACTGATTCTTTGATAGGCTCATTCAGGTTGACCAGAGGTATGTTCTGGCTACCTCCCCAGTTAGCACATATTGTTTTTTTCAGATGCCAAAAATGGCCTCCAGAATAAAAACCTTCTCAAGGCTCCAGCTTTCACTGAAATTAGTCCATACCAAGGGAAGTGTAACACAACTACATAATGTAAAAGAATACACAAATACATTTGAGGTACAATAGATTCTTAGAAAGAACCAGAAAAATGAACCAACCTTCATTCTTTTTGCACTCAACTGTAGATATTTATCTAAATATTCTTCTTCCCTTTCCTTATTCATAGGAAGCTAAAGTTATCCTATCTTTAAGATACTTGCAATATCAATCACAACCGTCACACAAAAATATTCCATTCAACATACTGAACAGCATATCAAGACATTGGTACAACATATAATAATACAAATTAAGAACTAGTTTCTCCTAAATCAGCATTGGGGGCTTTCTCCTTATGAAATGAATGTGCTACTCCAGACATAGTTTTTGAAGTTTTCTTTACAAAATTGGACCAGGAAGACACTAATCAGATAAATATGAGAGTTAGTCTAGAAGAATAATTAATCTCAGTACACACCTTTTGTGTCAAAATTCATTGTTAAAGTCTCCTCAGTTTCTTGGTCATTAGCCATGGTGGCATTTGCATGGTGGGATGTTGCTCCAATAACTCTGCTCTCAACTTTCTGAGCTTGAATGACTTGTCTCTCTGCCTCTTTGTACTTTCCCAGCTTTCTAAGAGTGGCTGCTAAGTGTTCCATAGCTAGAATGGTATAGGGGTGTTGCACTCCATGAATTCTCTTCCTCATATCCAGAACTTGGATCTGCAGTTTCTCTGCCTCTGTGTATCTTCCCTGCTTATAATATGTTGCTGCTAGATTTGCCATAGCTAGAATGGTATAGGGGTGTTGCACTCCATGAATTCTCTTCCTCGCATCCAGAACATGGATGTTCAGTGTCTCTTCCTCTCTGTGTCTTCCCAGGTAATGATATGTCACTGCTAGATTTGCCATGGCAAGGATTGTGCCTGGGTGTTCCACTCCAAGAATTCTCTTCCTTGCATCCAGAACTTGGATGTCCAGTGTCTCTGCCTCTGTGTATTTTCCCAGGTTTCCATATGAAGATGCTAGATTTGCCATGGCTTCAATTGTGTCTGGGTGTTCCACTCCAAGAATTCTCTTCCTTGCATCCAGAACTTGGATCTCCAGTGTCTCTGCCTCTGTGTATTTTCCCAGGCTCTGATATGTTACTGCTAGATTTGCCATGGCTATCATTGTGTCTGGGTGTTCCACTCCAAGAATTCTCTTCCTTGCATCCAGAACTTGGATCTCCAGTGTCTCTGCCTCCATGAATTTTTATTTGCCATGGCTTCAATTGTGCCTGGGTGTTCCACTCCAAGAATTCTCTTCCTTGCATCCAGAACTTGGATCTTCAGTGTCTCTGCCTCTGTGTATTTTCCCAGGTTTCCATATGAAGATGCTAGATTTGCCATGGCTATCATTGTGTCTGGGTGTTCCACTCCAAGAATTCTCTTCCTTGCATCCAGAACTTGGATCTCCAGTGTCTCTGCCTCCATGAATTTTTTCAAGTTTTCATATGTTACTCCTAGATTTGCCATGGCATCAATTGTATCTGAGTGTTCCACTCCAAGTATTTCATTTCTTTTATCCAGAACTTGAATCTCCAATGTTTCTGCTTCTTTTGAATATCCTTGTTCCCTCAACAACCTTCCAATTTTTGCATAAGCATCATCCATGTAACTGATAATATTCTGATTGCCTTTTGATTTGCAATACTCCATATTTGCCCTCACATGTGTTACCAAGGTCCTCTGGAATCCATATGGCTGGCCTGTGTTCCATCTTAGTGAACAAGACAATGTAACATACACCATTAAGCAACATTTTTTCCTCTCATTCAAAGTCAACCTGTCCCTGCCCCAGGTATGAACCAGTGGATGCGTTGCATATACATTATCAGATAGGCCCCTCTTGATTAAAGAGAAAGACAGCAATGTTCAAATTCCCTCTCTGAAAATGAAATTATCCCAAGTACCTGTCTCACAAAGAGGGAGTAGTTTTCGATCCAGCAGTGAACTGCCAAGAGGTAAACCCAACATAGGAGTTTTCTTATCTTTTTGAAGGGCAGCATAAGAAAAGATTTCCTCAGATATTTCCTCATGATGGAAGAAAGGAAATAATTTTAGAAGTAGCATTGCACTTTGGCTGCATTGGCCTTGTGAGAATCATTAGATCTAGCCCTTTGTTTAATTTCTTTGTATGATAGCTCCCAAGTTTCATAGACAGTTTTGTTATACTTAGAAGCTCCAGTAAATTCAGAATGAAAGAATAATGTTTTGCAGTGCTCTGAATACTTTGCTAGATAGTCTCCAATAGTGGTGGCTCCAGAAGCAATATAAGCACCAGCTTGGTCAATAGCAAGAGGAAAGCAGAAGAGATCTGTTACAATCTTAGAGGCTTGGATTTGAACATCTGATGTGGATGAATCCAAGCAACTAGCTTTCAGAAGTAGTTCAACAGCATCCCTCTCTTCCAATTCAGTCACTTCAAGAGAATTCTGAGGTGAAGTCAGAGTCATCATGGCAGAGTTACGACTAGTTATCAGAATGTTTCCCCTCATTCCAGGTGGGAAATACACCTCCAGTGCAGCAGGTGACAGAACATCAGCATTATCAAAGATCAGGATGTAATTTCCTTTCAGTGAGCCAATCCACCCAAGAGCAGAGTCAGGTGAGCCATCCAATCCACAAGACTGACCAATACCCTTCAGTGCCTGCATGATGGTACTGGAGGAGGATGCATCAACCCAGAAAACATGAGAGAAGCTGGGGACAATTCAATTTTTCAGGTAGGGTCAGACAGGTGTTTAGTAGGTACTCACCTATCAGACATTTCTGCAGCAAGTTTTAAGCAAATTTGAGTCTTTCCAATACCCCCCATTCCATATAACAAGAAGACCTTTCTCTTCTGAACTATGCCATTTGGGTTGGTAAAAAAATGCCTCTTGAGTTTCGCAATGGCTTCTGTACACCCAGTGAACCAAGTGCTTGGGTTTGGCATGATGGGAATGAACCCCGTCATCTTATTGCTGTGGATATTGACCTGCAACAGATCCAATGCTGTCAACTTGCTTGACGGATACTTTTAGTGAACATTACACTCACAGTCTTAGCTTCAATGAATGTGCCGTTGTTGGCGACAAAGTGGTGAGTGCCCGCAAAGAAGTTCGCTCTGCTCATGTTGAGATATCGAAGATGGATGTTCAGGATGAGGGAGGGAAAGAAAGGACAGCGCCCAAACAGTGCACCCACCCCCCAATCACGCCACAAGGTGAAGGCATGCCTGTGTCTATTTTTACAAACATGAACGTGCCTGGGCTTTTCCAACTCTTGACTCCAGTCTTCTCCAAGCCCTTGCCTTCGTCTTTCTCATTCCTCGATGTTTTACTGTCTTTGGTGAGTGGGCTCGACTTTCTAGTGTTGGTTATGTATGGCACCTGCAGGGCTCACGACGAGAGAATAAAGTCTGTTGTTGGTGCCGAACGTGCCTATTGGACTGATGTATAGCAGTGTTGTGCGGGTCGGCGACCTGAGGTCACAGTCACTGACCGTAAATTGTGAGAGAGTCACCAAAGGTCATCAATGGTCAAATGTTTGCAACTTTGCGCAGTGCCATGGGGTCCTACCTCTGGGCGTGTGCTATATCGCACTGCGCGGTCTTCTAACGCTGCACAGTTATTCCTACATCATATTCTGTATTTACCAGTGTTCTAGATTCCTCTACATCATGTTCTGTATTTTAGTGTTTGGAAGTCCGGTCTTATGACTGGAAAAAGACTGTAACCAGACCGGACCAAGACCGCAAAAAACCGGACCTGCAGTTACGGTCTTTTATTTTTGAGAACTAAAGACCGCAAAAAAACCGGTCTAAATGGACCGGTCTTAACCGGTTTGGACCGGTCTTTTGTAGCCCCTTAAATACCCTTCAAAACGCACCCAAGCACGTATTAATTGGTTCAGAATTGAGAAAGATATAAATAAAAATGTAAAATTTCGTTAAAAATAGTAGATGTACACGACCTTTTTTATAGAAACACCAATTCTCAACGGAATTTAACGTTCTTGGGCTCTTTTTAAAGCTACGAAACACGTTAACAAATTTACCGATTCATAATTTTAAAATATTGGCCAGAAATCCGGTCTTAAACCGGTTAAAACTGAAGAAGACCAAGACCAGTCTATAGACCGCAAAAAGACCGCAGACCGCGGTTTTTTGCGGTCCGGTTTGGTCTTTTGACTTTTGGGAAAAATGCGGACCGGTTACGGTTACGGTTAAGGCCCAGAGGCATCAAAAAACCGGACCAGACCGGACTTTTAAACACTACTGTATCTACCACAATCCATTTTGCGTGCTACCTGTGACAGTTGTTCTGTGTCACTGACCTTAGGTCACAGGCTCACAGTCAACTGTAGATCGTGAGAAAGTCAAATCTAATATATAAAGAGAGGAAGGTTGACAGTTATTACATAATAGATCATGTAAGCAACCGTGCTGCAATACTGAGCGGCGTGAGCGGCGTTTGCCGGAAACTCACATGAGTCATGAACAAGTCATGCACAAACAAACCTTTCGCTTCAGTGCACGACTCAACCACAACTGCACAACAATGACAACGTGGCAACGCCACGTCACACCACGGCCACAACCACGACACGACGCCCAACGCCAAGAAGATGACCGCCCACAAACGAAGACCAGCCAAAACGGACCACCACCATCCCAAATGGCTCATGAACGACGGACAGCACACACAGGCGGCGACGAACGACAACGACGAACAACGGACAACCCCGACGACCTGGCATGTCAACGGACGTGCCACGTCGTCTAGACGGTGACGATGCAAGTCGTTGTCACTGTCCCCATCATTGCAGGTGAGCAACATGGCTTCTCTCCCCCCTCTCCTTTTTTCACATGAGAAACAGGGGTCACGTCGCCGTTGGCAACAAACACGAAGACGGTGACGATGCATCCACATCAATCATGGTGAGCAACATGGCTTGCCTCTCCCTCTCCCTTTTTCACATGAGAAGCAAGGGCCATGTCGCGCTCAAAAAACAAAAACGACCACCTACAAACGAAGATGAACGAGCACCAGCCAATCCCGACCACCATCATCCACCATGGCTTATGAGCGACGGTCAACCACCCACGAACGGACAAAGGCGACAAGGAGCCCAGGTGAGCAAGCTCCCTGCCACCCCTCATTTTACTAATACGCAATCCAGGTGCCACGTCGCCGACAGCGACGTGGCAACCAAATGACGAACGTCGTTCGTCGTTGTTTACTCTAGGACACCACGGTGAGTAACCCCCGTCCCATGTTCATCCGAACCCACCTCACTGAGACACAGGACAATGAAGGAACCCAATGTCGCGATGAGAACGACAGAAGACAAGGACACGGGACAACGACGCTACGAAAACACAGTGAATACCCCCCGTCCCACGTTCATCCCTACCCACCTCGCTGAGACACAGGACGACGACGGACCGGCCACGTGGGACGACGACGACGTAACGAGGAGGACACAGGACAATGACGCGACGAGAACACGACCCAATGACGCGACGAGGACACGGGACGATGAAGACAATAACAACATGACCAGGACAAGGGCCAACGAGGGACCAGGGCACAACATGACGCAGAGGGGCTGACGACGTGACAACAACAGCAACGACGACAACGCGATGCCAATGTGGTACGACAACGGACGAGGGACCAGCACCACTACCCTGGATGGGCGATGAGTGCCCGGCACCACGACCACGAATGATGATAAGGCTCACCACTGCCTGTCCATCCCCCTTCTTTTTAACATCCCCCTTTCCTTAAACATTTAATGTAGTAGAATACTTCCTATGTAATTATCAAATACACTTCAATTTTACCTGTTTAAAGTTGAATGTCATAAGGGATTCTGAGGATGAACTTAGCAGCATGGGATACTTAGGTAAATTGTGTTTGTGAAAGTTCTGCAGCTTAGGTTATAGGCACTTTGACAATGCCAGACTCCTGTAGCCTTTGTCCGTCCCCTCAAATGTTTATCGGTTAACACCTGAATTTGCTCAGCCATTTTGCTGTAAGTACATAAATAGTCAAGACTCAAGAGGCCACTGTAGAACCTATCTAATGGCCCTATTGATCTGTCAAAGACGGAATGTGCACCCCTACCTGAAGTATAAGAACTGGGATGAAACATGCACAACAGAACTGGAATAAAGCATGCGTACCAGAACTGGGATTAAACATGCGTACCGGGGGGTCTAGGGGGCTTGCCCCCAGCAAGCTGTGACCAAGCACCAAAGGCATGGCCGAGCGTTAGCGAGTGCCGCGCCGTAGGTGCGGGTCTAAAGCTTGTCCACCTGAAGTGTCTACACCTAAAATTACATTACATAATATATGAGGACACCCCTGGCACCCCGCAAAGTCGCGGTCGTGTTTGGTTGCGAAATGTCACCGTCAGTGACAGTCGGCGACTTTCAGAACAGTTGCGCAACCGGCACAACGCTGATGTATAGGCCGTGCTTCAACCGTGCTTACAAGTGGACTCTACGAACGTGGGCCTGGCTGACCTTCTTTCTCGTAGTAGTCATGGCAGATTTGGTTGCGCGGTGTCAAGCCTCAGGCCTCAGGACCTGAAACCAGAAAACAGCACGCAATCTACGCGTCTCTTTTTTCGTCTTAACAACACAATCTCTCAAAGTGAGTGGGCGAATCATCGTCGAGTTCGCCCCTCTCAGAACATCCATCTTGATAGCTGCAAATTCGGAGTTGCTGCGCGATGGCTTAGCGGGTTGGTTCGAGTGCCAATATGTTTGATTCGTCAAGTCCCTACAATTGACCGTGCTTACATCGGTTTGCCTGTTGGAGAGAATCCAATGTGAGCTCATAGTATATTCTATTCCAAACCGCCGGTAGCTAAGGATTATTTACCCAGCCGGCTATCCCAGCATATACCCTCACCCAGCCACATTCGCCCACTCCTTATCAATGAAGCCAACGACCAACGGCAGCCGACCTTCCTTCAAATTTAACAACATTCCCATTTCACAGCTCCCCCTCCACCAACTACGCTTTTGGTCCTTCCCACCGTCCTCCTGATTGATGTCCATCATCGGGAGTGCCTTTCAGACGACACGGACGCACGGCTTCTTCGTTTTGATGAATCATGACGGGTCGAGGTCCCCGCCATCAAAGATAGCGCGGACCAGACTTTCTCCGGCTGAGAGGGACAAAGACAGTGAACGTCGAGTTGCAGCGGCCGAACAACCCCACTCGCTTCCCTTTTTCCCTGTTAATCGGCTTCCACAACGTTCGAGGTTTTGCCTGACGCCTCTTAACGGTCCCCGCTAGTCGCCGTCTTCCAAAGGAGGTCTCTCCATCGACGTTGGTTGAAAGAGTGGATGATGAACTCCTCAGCGGACACCGCATCAGCAACGACCCTCTGACGTTGAACTGAAACCCTTTTTCCACCGCCTCTGTATCATCAACACCGCTCTCACATTTTTGAGGAATGCCGAGGACGAGTCCAATGTGACAGGGCAG